GGTGGTTCCAAGATCTGCATTTAATGTTGAAGGAAGGTTGAGGGGGTAGATAAAGATGGAAGGCATGGTGATGAGAAGCTAGAGATAGGAAATATGATGGATGAGTGTTTTTCAGATCTACTGGAGTCATGAGGAAGATGGTTATTTTTGGGAATACCATTGTATGTTATTAAATCAGAAAATAACTTTTTGATCAACAAAGTCAAGGGATCTATAGTGTGGTCGTCGGATATGTGGTGACCGAAGAGTTGTCATTGGATTTGTGTAGTGCTCGCCATATTTGTAAGTGTGGTTGCCGATGGTGTAATGCAGTTGCTACATCTGAGATGTGGTGGTTGAAAAAGGCCATGTCTCTATAGTAAAAGGGATACGCTGTGGTGGTTGAAAGACGTCTCGCCTCTATAGAAAAAAAGGGATACAATTTAGGGGTTTCAGATTAGGAGAGAGCGATGATTAGAATAAATATAATAAATGTATTAGTTGTCATCATTTTACAAAATTACCAAATCACCCTTTTATCATTAATTAAATCATTAAACAATTTAATTGAAATGATTGGTTTACATTAGACGTTACGGATCTAACAATTTATGAAGTTGTCAAATGATTAAGCCTTCTATATGTTGGTGATTTATTTTACAAACAGAACCGTTGGTACAATTCATACAAACCAACTGGTTGAGATATTTATAGAAATGACATGGGTTTATTTAATTATGGTCTAGATATTTATGAAAGATTATTAAAGTTCATTTATTATGATTAACACATTATATTAAGAAAGAATCGAGATATTTATTATATCAAATATTCATTAGAATACTCGATGAATAATTGAGATTTATTTTTATGTTTTGTACTAATGAGAATGTTTGTAAATGATTCACAATCTATACATGCATACACACATATATATAATTATATTATATTATTAATATAAAATACTAATTATTTTTTTTTTAAATGTTAGGAAAATGGAAAAAAGAGTAAGGGGCCGTTTACCAAACGCTTACTCGGATAAGTAAACAACAAGTCATTTTACCAGATGAATATGGTAAGGATTAAGAATCTTACCTGGTAAGAGCGAGACAAAGACCAATAGTGTTACCTTGTAAGTGAAGGCGACGAGTTTTACCACGGTAAGCGTTTACCGGGTAAATTGTTGCATATGATATCGTTTTGGTGTTCTAAAATCTTATCCAATAAGTAAATAATAGTGTTAAATTTACTGATAAATATTTACCGGATAAGTGTTTGGTAAACGACCCCTAACTCAACTTAGTCTTTTTAATGACTTTAGAGGTAATGGCCAAATGTAAACCATAGCTACCTGTATTTTTGAAACTATAAAAATAAAAAGTGTTATAATCAACAAACCACAAGGACCCAAATTGTAGTTTACTCTTTAAAATAAATATCATCATACGAGGCAATGGTGTAAAGGAATCAACTTTTAATGAGCTCAAACATAATTCTCTAGCTCGAGTTGGGTCTCGAACACAAAATAGAACTCGTTTACCTGAACGAATCAAACTTCATAAAACCAATGTTTGGTTCATCTCATACGAAAGCTCGGTTAAAATTATTGAGCCAAACTATTCGAGTATATACTTCTTCAAGCCAAAGATAGTCATAAGTTCATAAATAATACAATAAAAGTCTAAAAACTATACACCCCAAGCCAATAAACAAGTTAATCGGTAGAGTACGAGCCCATAAATAAGCAATGAGCTCAACAACTCAAAATAAAAATAAAAATTCGAGTTCGAAATGAGGACGAATAACCTACTACCATTCGATTTTGCTACGTTTATTCCCCTACAAGACAAACAAATTAACATTGTGTTTACCATAAAAGATTAAATGTATAATTAATTAGTCAATATCGGCGACTTAATTGTACCGTACAGATTAATTATTAATTCTATCACTCATTCTTATATTAATCAACATCTATGACACATACTCACGTGAAAAGAAGGGGGAGGCTAAAGGCACCCCTATCAATTGCCATTAGCACCCCTAAAACTAGTTGTCATTATTGTTTTTATTGTTTTTAGTGTCTTTTTGTTTTTTTTTTTTTATTTTATGTTTTGTTTTATTGTTATTTTAATTTATTTTTAAAGAAATTTTAATTTAATATAAATTTTTTATTTTGTTTTTTTCTGTTTATTTATATTATATTTTGATTAATACAAATTATTAATAA